CCGATCCCCGAGGAAGGGGGTGAATTCAGAGCTGGGTAACCCCCCTCGGCTTCCTCGGAGCAGAGCAGATTTCCACCCCGCGCGGCCGGGAGATGGGCCCGCTCCCGCCGCCGCGCCGGGGGGACGTGGGAGAACCCTCGCCCCAAGGCCGCCTGGCCTTTGCCCCCCAAAACCGCGGAAGGCCCCGGGGCAGGGGGCAGGTATCGCGTCTGGCTTGTTTTGGTTTCGGTTTAAGAATTTGCGAGTCTGAGCGCTGGCTACGGCCCAGAATAACTTGGTTTATTATTTTTTTTTTATTTTGCTTTGCCGGGCTTCCCGCCTCCTCGTTGCTCCCAGTTCTGGCGAAGGATATTTTAACTCTCGGGTTTTGTTTTTGCTGCGGACTGAACCGCCGAAGTCCTGGGCAGGGACGGCCGGGTGTGCTCGGCGGGGACGGGGGGGCCCATCACCCCGGGCAATAACTGCGAGGTAATGGTGCGCAGACGCTCCTACGGCTGATACTCCCTTCTGCTCACGTGATAATTAAGAAACGGGGCTTTCCAAAAAAAAAAAAACCAAACAAACCCAAGCCAAAAACCAGCTCGCCGGCGTCCTGCCTGCCTTCGCTTCTGCCTCGGGCTGACTTCTCTTTCTTGCAGGACAATATCCCACCCAGCCGTCCTACCCTGTCCAGTCCCCTGCCAACCCCGCCGTGTACCCACAGACTCTGCCCCTTCCGCAGCCGCCGCCCTACACAGATGCACCTCCTGCGTATTCCGAGGTAGGCGGGACGCTTCTCTGAAGGCTTTGTTTTCTTCTGGGGCCCTTCCCAAAGGGGAAAAAAAAATAAAAAATCTCTGAATAAGTTTATAGCTGCAATATCTTTTTTTTTTTTTTTTGCCTGGGGGAGTTGTTGGCTGCTCGTATCACTGGGCAGCGGTCGGTCCCCTGATTCTCTCTTCTGAGATCTGAATCATCCACTCAAAGTGACAAACGTTCAAAGCTTCCCCTTGAGTCAAGATGACAAATTGAGCTCACCCGTGGCTGTAAAACACGCCTACCATAATCTCTCTTAGTTGGGTTCTTGCGGGCAGCGGGGGAAAACTTGTCTCCAGCAGTGGGAAAAATGACCTTTTACCATACCCCAAAGTAAACGCTCGGGGAAGGGGATTCCCTTGTGCAAGCGGGAGGGTGAAAGTCTGTGCCGGGGCTAGCGCTTTGACAGCAAGGCTGAATAAACAGCGGGGTGCGGGGAGTAACAAGTCTCTCAACTTGCTCGCACGCGTTTTGTTTCCCAGCTTTACCGTCCCAGCTTCGTGCCTCTGGGGGCTGCCACCGTCCCTACAATGTCTGCGGCGTATCCGGGCACTTCCGTCTTCCTGCCCATGGCCCAGTCTGTGGCCGTGGGTCCGATCGGCTCGGCGGTCCCGATGGCGTATTACCCCGTGGGGCCGGTTTATCCCCCGGGCTCGACAGTCCTCGTTGAAGGTGGCTTTGATGCTGGAGCAAGGTTTGGGGCTGGCGGAACAGCCAGCATCCCTGTAAGTATAAATGTGTCCTCAAAACCCTGCGTGCTTCAGCATTAGAGCTTCGCAGATGGTAGCGGGGGAGAAGATGTCCTTTGTTTTCTGAGAAAAACATATTTCTTACCCACTCCATCATTTGGGAGAAGAGTAGGCTCCTACTTTGCTGCTGAGGGTTTGCTGTCTCTGGCTAACCTGTGGCTCTGGAGCCACGTAGGCTCGCAGGTGGTTCTGGCTCACAGCAAAACGATTGCGTGGCCACTGCTAGCCCCGATTTGGCCTGGGGGCCATGGTGTAATGCGCTCCGGGGGGAGGCAAGGCAGTAGGGCTGCTTAGCGACCCTGACTTTCCCTGGCCCCAAACGCAGACTCGGCCTCTTCCCGTGCTACGGTGGAGCTGTGGGAGGTTCCTGCTCCCTGGACTTTCCACCCGTGGCTCGTGGCCACGTGGAACTCTTGTTCCACGGCTCATGGGCTCCTCTGCGTGGGCAGAAGGCCAGGTTCTGCCGTACAGGCTGCGGGCTCCGAAAAGAGAGGGCAGGGCACGGACGAGGAACTGAGCGTTTCCCATCAGCTCCTGGACTCTGTCGCTCAATCTTTGCTCGGTAGCAAGTGACGGGGACATCAGTTGGGAGGTTTCTGCAGGCCGCGGGGGCTTTGTGCCGGCTCCCGTCGTGGCGCTGACCTCAGCTCTCCTCCCGCCTCTCCTTCCTCTGTCTTCCAGCCCCCCGCTCCTGGCTGTCCCCCCAACGCCGCCCAGCTGGCCGTGATGCAGGGAGCCAACGTCTTGGTGACGCAACGGAAGGGAAACTTCTTCCTGGGAGGCTCAGATGGCGGCTACACTATCTGGTGAAGAAGGAAGGGGAAGGGGGGAGAGGGGGGGCTACATTTGTGTAAGGAAAGACATCACATACTGTCAGCACTTCTCACGATGTAACTGCTTTAGTCCATATTAACCTGAAGTTGCAGATTAGACACACAGCGGTGAGGTGTCTTCCTGGTTTGGTGCCCGGCCCTGCAGGCACTTTAAAGCGAAACAAGAAACCCTGTTAATGATAGCGGTGTCTCTGTTCAAACGGGGAGGGGGGGAGTAATTCAGGCAATGAATGTGAGCTCAGCAGCCCTGCCTCTTCCTTTCGTTTCACACTGGAGTAATACCGCAGCGCTGAGCTTCTATTAATCGGCTACCTATACGCTGGCTTTGGGGAGGGCGAGGGAGCGGGTCCGGTTTCACCTTCCCTTCACGCTCGTACCGGTCCGCTGGACCCAGAGCCGCGAACCACCCGGGTTTCCTCGGCGAAGGTGCTGGGTAGAAAGCGAGGCAGACTTCACTTCCCAGCAGCGGGGAGGGCACCTTGGCGCTTCTTTCTTCCTGACCTCACTCTAGAACGGATCCCTCGAAGCACTCCGTGCTCGCATTCGCCCGTCGTTTTCCTCCAGGAAGGTATGCAGCTGGCGTATATCATGGGATTTTTTTTATACACTCCAAGTAATCTTGGATTTCTTTGCACATTAGATCTAATCAAAGCCATGCTTTGGTGCCAGAAACACAATGCAACTCAATTTTGAACATTTCATTCGATGCTAACTAGGCTGTTAGAACAATGCTTAATAAACAAACTTCCTTTTTTTTAAACTCAACCTGGTGTCTTGACACCAAAACTCCTTAAGGCTGTTGTTC